TTTACTGTAAAAAATAATTCTGTTATTTATGGATAAGGGCTACAAGTTTTATATCGGAATCTTTTCTAGAGTCACTATTTAAAAAGTTGAGTAGGCACTTTTTTTTTAATTACTGTGATTTGGCAGATAAAAAAAAATATTCCAACGCGCTACATACAGCTAAGAACAGTACTGTGCTAGTTGGAAAAGCATAGCCCTGATTTTTAAATTTTTTATTGCTTGGTGCTTTTCAGCTGAAACACCCTGTATATGTTTGTTTTGTCTTCAGTCAAGGTGAGTGCCTCTATTATTCCTTCCAATGAACCCCCCTCACCTGACGAGTTTTCGTTGAACCTTGGACTAAGTATTTAATCGTATAAACACGGGTGATTATGTTATTGTTCACATTGTATGCATAGGGAAGTGGGGCTTTTTTCTACATGTCTTTGCGGAGTTGAATGTCATCTCCATGTATGACACCAATAAATTATAGCCATTGAATAGTTGTTTAGTGTGGCTTGATCTTCAATTGCCTCAATATTATGATAGATGATGCAGTCGTTTGCAAAGAAACGGCTGCAAACAGGAGAGTCAATGGCAAAGCCATTCCGATAAATGAGAAAAAAAAAGGGGGGGACCCAGTACTAGGCCTTGAGGTACCCTGAAAAGCTCCGGTGCTGTTTTAGACTTCAATTTCGCTATTTAGACATATTGATGGCATTTTCACAGATAAAGAATCAAACCAACTTAACATGTTAATTGCTGTTTAAAAGGAGTTGGTCGAATGCACACTGATGGCAGACACCGGTGGTGTCCACAACTTGTAGTTGAGCAAGTTCTTCCTAGACCACTCGTCTTATAACCAAAGAGATGTCGTCCTGTGATGGAAGGTTGGCACTTTCAATCGAGGGCACATTGTCAAGACGTGCGAATTTCGGTAGGATTATCATCCTCTTTAGCGCTTCAAATGCTCGACAGTGTCTCCTCAGGTCAGAAGGTGTGCGTAGGTCTTTCGTAATGATAAAAAAATTGTAACAAGTCTTCCGCGATTCCCTTGAGGAGATGACCTACCTTATCTTCGTCAGACATGGTCACACTCATGATTCCGCAAAGCTCACAAACAGCCTCTATGTAGGTGGTGCACGTTTCACAAGATAACTGAGCTCTGCGTGAAAGCGTTTGTTCCGCCTGCTTGACCTTAGCAGTCAAGTCACCAAAATACCTCTTCAACTCGTCCACAAAAATGTCCCATGAGGTGAACGCACTCTCGTGGTTGTCGAACCAAAGAGACGCAGTGCCAACAAGAAAAAACACCACGTTCTCGAGCTGCTTAGCAGTGCTCCAGCGATTGCTGCGACTCCCTCTTTGGTAGTGCCTGAGCCAATCCTCATTATCGTTATCCGGCTTCCCCGAGAAGGTCATTTGTTAACGTTCCGGCATATCGTAGCGAGCTTGTCCTGTCGGGTGAGTATGTTGCTGATCAGCGGCGAGGTTGTTATGGCCTGCTCCTGTGTCCTCCATGTCTGGTAGCTGTGGTGGCAAGCCTGCCAAGCGTCTGCTCTGTCGCAAAATTTGTAGAACTGGGTCGTCCAGATCGATGTGCCCAGCACCTTCCACCAAACTGTTAAAAGTGAATGTGTTTATTTACAGATGAGGTGAAATGGCGTTGGGAAAGAGCAGCGTACTTCAGAGACAGGCCTAGTCCAGTTCCCTCAACCACACAGTCCAAGTGCCGGCTCCACTACACTTTTTAAGCGTCCCGTATGCTCATACATCTTTGTTGCAATAACAACCTAGCCCCCTATTGTGTAGCTATCCAGGCAAACCATCTCACGCGAACGTGGTATGACGTCATTATCAGACATGTTCTCGCGAAGTTAAGTTTCGGTGAGGATAGAAACATTTGAGTCATACATGTGAGGAAACCCTTCAAATTCATCGCACTTTCTGACGATACTCATTATGAGACATTATGATACAGTTATGAGACATTCACATTAAAAGTCAACTCCGGCAATTTTTTACCATGTCAGGGTAATAGTGTTTTTATGGTCGTGAGACACTCTTGTCATGTGCCCGAAAGCTGAAATGCTCAACGAATTCGAAAATAATATTTAATTAGCAAAATACTGCAATACCGAAACCCAACTGAGTGCACTTCTACATATGACGAAATCCTTTGCCAGAACCTGCATAGTTGCGCATAACGCCACTAGATGAAACTGCTTGTCCAGGTCGTCCAACTTTATGCCTGCGGCGATTGGTTGAAACGCTTATGCTGTTACAGTGAATATGTGGCGAATTGTGTTCAGCCCACATCGCAACACGACTTGCCACCCATCATGCGCCCATTGAAAGAGAAAAGGAAATCGCACTGCTCAACCAAGAAAGCGCCAGCCAAAACCCCAAAATCCACAGCAGACAAGCAGATGTTGCTGTACAGTGGCTACGTCAGTTCCTGTTGTTGAGAACTATAGAATAATTTTGCCACCTGGTTTCTTGAAGGTGCACCTGAATCAAAACACGCTGGTTCTTGCATTTCACTGCGCTCGGCATATAGTTTTTGTTCCCTAAACGCGTTACTCGTAGCCTATAATAAGCATAATGTTGCGACGAGTCTACCAAACGACACACAACACAACTTATGAATTGAAATCTGTGCACAATCACTTTATAGCCGAGCTGTAAGTCATATTAACATGGTGACTAAAGTAATTGGGAATTTCTAGTCTGCTGGGCTGCTATGTGCACGAATCCTACGTGGACAAAAGAAAATTAGGGGACCTTAAAGCTTCACCTTTAGAAGTTCAACGTGATAGCTACATCTTGTTCCTAGTGCGTACTTCAAACACTTAGTGCATGAAACCTTTTCGAATTTATTATGCACTCACTACGCGGCCTTAAGGGAATAGGAGCAACAGCATATGTAGTGGGGTACTGGCTTTCAATTGCGGAGTCATTATAATAGTCGCATATTCTGATGCCAGTTGGCAATGGATGCTTGTACCACACATTATTACTGTAATATTCGATGTTGCATTGTGAACCATAAATACAGAACGCATGTGTGAAGCATGAAAGCTACTTTCGCTGCATTTTCAAGGAGAGGAAGTTCTTTTCACTGTTTTCACAAGCAGAGGCGTGGCCGTGTGATAGCACATCCACATGCCAAGCAAACGACCAGGGTTTGATCCCTACTTGAAACCAAACAACGCTCATTCGGCCCCCACTTTGCTCCAGGATTTAATATTTTTTATTTTATTTGCATCATTCTCGATTTTTCGGTCATGCATAGGATGACGATTTCTTGCTCACAACCAACGATGCCGACATTGATGCCGGAATTTCTGGGAAACAAGCTCTTTAATGCTATCGCGTTAAAATCGCCGGAGTCTGCCTTTAAAAACATTGAGCTCGCCCATGGACGAGCTGCACCTTTGGGTTGGACGGACCGTACTATCTGCACAGTTTCATTTCTATCTTCATCCCACTGAAATTGTTTCCCACTGATTTTAATTCTGTTGAAAAAAAAAAAAAAAAGCTTAACTTGATCCCCCTTAACAATGTGCATTCTTGCGCTATCCTAAAGCTTTCTTTCGAATTTGTTGTACAGGAGGTACACTTTTCATTTGTTCCTGTGTTAAGATTGAGTATGGGGGTAGGGGGGGCTAAAACTCCTTTAACCTTTCCGATGGCTATACCAGGCTTGAGTTTGGTAGATTACTTGGCTGCTACGCAGAGGACCCGGGTTCAAATGTCCTTTCATCCTGAATAATTTAATTCGTCTTATTTCATTTTCTTTATTTTTTTTCTCTATTTCGGGCGTAGCGGTTACGGACACCGGCGGCACCGGACAACTACGGAACCAGAAAAATCTGTTGCTGTGACCCCATAACAGCTTAATTTCACTGCGAAAGCACCGTTTTTAAAAGGCCTTGACGTCGGCTGAAGTTTATAGGGAGGACCCTGTGTGTGTGTTCTAAGCCCAGAGACACCGAGTGAATGGTATTAAATTATGCTGCGATTCTTAGAAATAGTTCTTGCATGTTCTGCTCAATGTATGCGCTAAATAAATCGACGGTAATATAAGTGTATACTTGGATAAAGGTGCGTATTCTGGCCGCTAGCATCATCAAAAGAGTCTTGCAGTAGAAAGGATTAGAGCCGGACCATTTGAATTGCGAAACACTTAATGACAGTAGCCATGAACAAACGCGGGAAAAAAGTGGCAGCAGACGAGCTGGCAAACAATGCTCCGCACGCAGAAGGAAGCGCAAAAATGAGGCGTCCCCTTAATCGCCTGCACCAGCGGTTGCTTTTCTTTCTGTTCAAGAAAACAATGACGTAGTTGGACTCGCAAAAACTTGCAGAACACGCATATTTTGTACCTCGATTGGATACTGCAGTGTCGCACGTGCATATGCTGCGCATATCGCTAGCTCGCGCATGACACGCGCAACTTGATTGATTGATTTGTGGGGTTTAACGTCCCAAAACCACCATATGATTATGAGAGACGCCGTAGTGGAGGGCTCCAGAAATTTCGACCACCTGGGGTTCTTTAACGTGCACCCAAATCTGAGCACACGGAACTACAACATTTCCGCATCCATCGGAAATGCAGCCGGGATTTGAATCCCGCGACCTGCGGGTCAGCAGCCGAGTACCTTAGCCACTAGACCACGCGGGCGGGGCGACACGCGCAACTTTGAGAGAGGCGATCGTTAGACGGGACTTCTGCGTAAGTGACCATCGCTGCCAAATACCAGATCGCGTTAATTCAGAAGCAGCAGAATGACTTTACGTGGCTACAGAAACATCCAGGTGAGGAATGCTTTTCATAAAGCGACACTAGATGCGCCTGCACTTGCGTATATAGCGCTGTCAAAGTCTTTTGTATCCCACAGATATCGTTTCCTCCTTCTCGCGCGACGCAGTGACCCACAGACCCCGATTGCGGAGGCCTTCCTCATAACACCGCGCCCGGTTTCGTCAACGCAAGAAGGTGAACGAAGTCTTACCGATGTCACAAGGTATCAGCAGAGCGCTGGCAGACTGCTCGACGGTTACGGACGCTCTAAGGGGCAACAGCACGTCCTCGAACGTCCTCACAAGCAGCAGCGTCAGCGAACACACAGCAGCCAGAGTAGACCTACCACTTCAGCAGCGCAGTGACAGTCACGAGCGTCGAGGAAGAGTCGCGCTTTTACGCGACTTTAAGCAGACGATAATGCTGATGATGATGCCTCTTTCACCGTCAAAAGTAATGAAGGTGCGAAAACAAAATAGATTTTCTCGTGCGCTAATCACCTGTGCGGCTAAAGCAGCCACAACAATGAAATCACAGAGAGCATTAGACGAATAGATAAATAAATGAATAGATGCATACGAATAGTAAGGGTCTTTGTACTTGGCCTTCAAAATTGGCATTTTTGGCTTTTGCTATTAATTTCAGAGGCTATGCCTTGCATCGAAGGAGCTGCCTGCTGAACGAGCGCAAAACGCCTGTCATCTATATTGACGTCACTTACGTAGGGTTTTTTTTATAATTACGTTTACGTCTTTGTAAAACTTTTTACGTTATCTTTGTTGCATATAAGCTTCAAAAACGCAAAAACTTATTTGAAGACACCCCTGCTTAGGTGGCGCCACCACCAAAGTTTCGACCAACCGGCAGTTCACCATATAATGCAGGCATTCTTACTCCCGGTGCCTTCAAAACAACCGTAAAGTAGCAGACAAACAGGTTATAGGTAGCGCCACCTACGGCGAGCGATTGAACGAGAGCGGGGACACGCGCTCCCATAGGAACCCCGCTATCTGAACAGGTCAGGAGTGTAGTAGGTCATGGTTTCGACCATAGAGTTTTCCACAATACTTACTAGAGGGAACTCTGGCGCTAGTGTCTATGGGGGTTGCAACACACGGCTAAAGCTCACTTTAACACGGCGCTTCAGTGAGCATGAGAATGATAGACTGGCATAGACTGGTAGTACACACATTTGTCTAATTTTCATACTTCTGGCTCCGTGTGTTTGTGTGGCTTGGAGCTGCTTTTTTGAGAAAACATAAATTAGCAAATATTCACCGTTTGCGCTTCACAACCTTATTTTTTTAAGCTTACAATTTCAATTCAAGTCTTTAAGTTCAAAAATATTTGTTTGTTTTTTTTTTTCAAAACAAAACCGTAACCAGTAATAAACGAAGCCGCAAGTACGATTCGCCGCCCGCAAGTACGAAGACTAGGCAAATGTGTGTACTACCCATCATTCCCATGGTCGCTGAACGATCGCAGCGCCAGAGTGCCCTCTAGTTAATTTTGGAAACTCTACGGTTTCGACGACGGCTGCTTTCCAAGTGCCCGCCGATAATCCGGCAGGCAAGAGAAGTCTAGGAGGCTATGTGATAGGTGTTCGGGTACAGTGGCTAGAATATTCTAGCCACTGTAGTTTGGGTGTTCTGTGGTGTTACCACAGAACACTACCATTTGTGTTACAGTGTACTAGCGAGACGGCTTTTGCTTTGTGCCAAATTGTAACAGCGGCTACCGCTCGTGTAAAGAGGCGCACTCCTTATTTCGGATGCCGTTAAAGCTGACCCTATAGAAGTGTGACAACTTGGGCTAGTTGATATGGCATGGCGATAGTTATAGCACGAGAACAAAACAACGACACAAAAACAAGAATGACACGAAGGACACAGGGAAGAATGTCGATCGAGAAGGCATTATGTGTCGCCGTTTTGCTCTCGCGCTATAACTATCGTAATGCCATACCAACTAGCCCAAGCTGCCACACTGCTAACTTCCAACTGAGTTTATTGCGCAGAGCGCGAAAATATATAGAGGAGACAGTAACCATGTGGCAAAAACCATATGGCACAAAGAGCAAAACACGAGTAAGAGAAAAAAACAAAAACACAGAAAAGGGCAAAGAAAGTTTGTAAGGAAACAAAACAGAAAAGTAAAGGTAATATAACTGCTTGCACGCACCAGAACCTTCGAGAACCTTAGTTCCTTCTCGCACAGAGACACGGAGGGCTTGCTAATGCATGACACCTATCTGTTCACGTGCCATCTGCGCGGACTCGACGATGACTCGGGTGCGCTCATCCTTGTGCTTGTACAGTGTAGCTGTGTCCTTGAAAAGGGGCACGCAGTCGCTCAGTGCAGTGCTGGACAAGAAAACCATCTTTCCCTGTTTATAACATTGTTAGCGTGTTCTCTCAGTCAATCGTTCTCCTTCTTGTCTCTGTGTCATCGTTTTGTTCTCGCGCTATAACTATCGTTATCGTAAAGCTGACCACCGGGAAAAATGGTTGCGACACATCAAGAGAGGTGATCGAGTCCTCGACAAGAGCAGCGCTGTTTGTGAGCGACACTTCGAAGCAAGGTTGATACAGCGAACTTTCAAGACGACTATCAACGCTAAGGTTACTGAGGTCCCCCAGAGACCTGCCACTCTTATCAAAAGATGCCATTTTTACAATTTTTTCTGATGCTTCCACGTACCTTTCAAAATCGCTGCCGAAAAAACGGAAGGATCACAACCTTAACGATCACATTCTCCCTAAACTGAAGCGAAGGCGTGAGAGCAACACGTCGTCAGAAGTTCAGTCGAATGACGTTGATCAAGGCAGTTCGATGATATTCCTGAACAGAAATGACAAAGAATGTCGAATGATGTTGGCCGAGACTGTGCCGCTGATAAAGCTCGTGACCAAGAATTTCAAGAACTGTCATTTTCAAAGCTCACCATTCCAAATGAGTGGTAGGAAATTTTCCTGCCGTGTGTCGGGGACTGATTTCTTTATGCCAAGTTGGAAGCCGACGCTGTTGAACATGGCAAGGTAGCATAGAAAAAACTCATTCAGATTGAGAAGAAAGCTGCTGAAAGTGCTGCAACCACCGAAGTTCTCCTAAGAGGAAAGAAGTGGCCCAAGAGGAACTCGTAGCACGAGAAGAGGCAGAGTTGCTGATAAACCATGTGAGCAAACCGACTTAATTGTGTCCCGTCGTCGGAATGGAGCCTTTAGCTAGTAAATGCCCATCGTTCAATGGGGTGTTCTCTTCGATGAACTGCACGCTTGTAGTAAACGAAATTGGTGCTTGTGTTCACTGCAAATATCAGAGAGAGCTGATACTCAACCAGCTTTCCAGAAGACGATGTCAGATGTTTAAGAAAAAAAAAAAAACGTCCTTGAAGTATGCGACATAACCTTCGGAGAACGAAAGCAAAGTTTAGCAGCGCAAAAATTAGCTTGAGCCGAATGGAAACAAAATATGAGCAGTTATCTGAAGAAGCAGTATCTGAAAAAATTAAATGCCTTCGATTGACGCTTCCCGACCATTTAGTATGCGAAGCAACATAAAAAATATAAATCACACACGACCAAAAATTTTTTATGAAAAAAAATAGATACTTAAGCTCTTTAAGTTCATACGTTGAAATTCACCCAATACTATTTGAAAGTACCTCACAACTATATAAAATTTAGTAACTTCAAAAAGAAACGAGTTTGGCTGCCTGCTGTAAACGACCTCGCCGAATTGTAGTCGGGCGTTATTGTGTACGCTCGTTATAGCGAAAGAACGGCTAGTACCTACGCGGAAGGGCCAAATTTCATCATTAGGTAGTATTTATCGCATAAAAAGCCACGACAACAACTCAGAACAATACACTAATCGGCCACACAGCCTGCTCACAGAGCGTTAGAAGTGTGGCAGATTGGGCTAGTTGGTATGACATGACGATAGTTATAGTGCGAGAACAGAACGACGACACAGAGACAAGAAGGCTCGTGTCCTTCTTGTCTCTGTGTCGTCGTTCTGTTCTCGCAATATCGTCATATCCTCACAGAGCCATCACCACGGTATGGTGGCTACCATACCACGGCAGCGAACAAAGCGCTCTTTTAGCCAGCAGCGCCCTCTAGTCGCGCGTGGAGCGGTCATTGCTAGAGGGACCTTCTTCCTGGCGCCGCAAGGCACACTTTTTCCTTGTAGTACGGAAGCGAACCTGAAAATTGACGGGTAAATACTTAGAAAACAGCAGGGGGCCAAACCAAAACGGAGACTGACATGTGGAGAATTAGCATGATTAAGAAGTCCGAACTAGAGATCTATCAAACTTTTAAGCAGGAAATTGCCAAGGAAAGAATCTATGACAATACCCGGTGTAGTTCTCTACTGTTTGAGGCCAGGACAGGAGTATTGCGAACCAAGACATATCGGGCCAAATACGAAGGGGTAGACACGGTATGCAGTGCATGTGGAGAGGAGAAGGAAACTGCCGAACACTTGATAATGTTCTGTGAAGGGCTTCACCCTATAGTTCAGGTTGATGGCGCAGAGTTTTTCAAAGCACTGGGGTTTAGGGACAGGGAGGGCAAAATAAATAGAGTTTCCCAAAATTAACTAGAGGGTACTCTGGCACTGCGATCGTTCAGCGACCATGGGAATGATGGGTAGTACAAACATTTGCCTAGCCTTTGTACTTGCGGGCGGCGAATCGTACTTGCGGCTTTGTTTATTACTGGTTACGGTTTTGTTTTGAAAGAAAGAACAAATCCTTTTGAACTTGGAGACTTGATTCAAAATATTAAGCTTAAAAGAATAAGGTTGTCAAGCGCAAACGGTGAACATTTGCTAATTTATGTTTTCGTAAAAAAAAACAGCTTCAAGCCACACGAACACACACGGAGCCAGAAGCAGGTCAGAAGTATAAAAATTAGACTCTATGGCAAAATAGACTTTAAGCGAGTAGAATTAACTAGAAGAAGGTTATTTGATCGGTGGCTAAAGTCAAGGCAAGAGTGAAAATTAATCCTTTCACTGAAAAATACCAGTTTTCAACTTCACAATTTAAAGGAAAAAATAAAGATAAATCTAACTGTTGGTTCACTAAATATTACGGCTAGATGGCGCTAGCCGCCGCTCAATCTAAAGGGTGCAGCCATTATATTCATCTATCTATTCACTGTAGTGGTGTCATCTTTTGACGGAAACGCTGAATACGTGGTGCTCCTTTCGGTTGTGTCGGTGAGTGCAACATGGCCGGTGCGAAGTTTCAGTACGACGAGAGCGGCGGCACGTTTTTCTACTTCCTACTATCGTTTCTCGCGCTCGTGGTGATTCCTTGCACGTACTACTTCTGGCCGAAGGATGAGCGCGCCGCGGACTCCGAGAAAAAAGGTGGCCGCAGCTGCCGCTGCCCGCAGTGTGTGGACAAGAGCCGGCGTCTGCGCGTCAACCAGCCGTGGCGCCGCACCAAACAAAACAT